ATCTGGACAAAATGACAAGGCGGAAAAATTCACCACAAAAAAAAGAAAGAAAGAAACAATTAAAAAAAGAAAACCAATAAAGAAAAAATATAAAAAGGAAATATATATATATATATATATATATATATATTAGATAAACTAGTTAAAAAACATTAAAAAAGAAAAGGGTAAAAGTTAAAAAAATTTAGCAGAAGAAAAATAAATTGAAAAAGAAAAAAAAATTAAATTAACTGCAAGGCTAAAGAATCATGGGGAGAAAGCCATGAGTTCCGTGCTTTGCCTTCTCCTCCTCTGGAATTCCGCTGCTCTCCTTGGTATTGAAACTGCACTCCTTGGTAGGTGAACTTGGTCCTGGCTGGGCTTCTTGTTGATCTTCTGGGGGAGGGGCCTGTTGTAGTGATTCTCAAGCGTCTTTGCCCCGGGCGGAGTTGCACCGCCCTTACCCGGGGCCGGGCTGAGTAATCCGCTCGGGTTTGCTTTCGGGAGCTTTTGTTCCCTGAGCGCTTTCCGTAGAGTTCCGGAGGGCGGGAATGAAGATGGCGGCCTCCCGGTCTCCGGCCCGGAGGAGCCGAGAGCCCGGGGCCCCACTCCTCAGTGCGCCCTCAGAGAACAGCGCCCAATTACTCCCGTCACCCTGGCCTCCGGCCGTGCTCCGAGCTGACCGAGCCTGCGACCGGTTCAAGGTAACCCCGAGCTTAGCGCTTACTCCTCGGCTCTGTCTCTGTAGCCGGCTTCCCCGTTCTAATACCTGTAAACTCTGCGACACTCAGACACCCCCGATCCTTCTGTGACCCTGCGGGACCTGAGGCCACGCTGACCCTGGGTGGGCTTCACCCCGGTTAAGCCTCTGGAGCCATGTCCCTCAGCGGAACAGACTTTTAAAAGTCCCGATTTTGTGCTCCGTTGCTCCGCTGCTTGCCGGGAGCCGGCCCCTCCCCCCGCGGTCTATCTTCCCGTCACTTTGGATTCACTTCTCCGCCAGTCCTACCTTTCAGAAAGTGGTTGATTTTCTGTTTCTAGAGTTGCTGTTCTTCTTCTCTTCGATCTCCTGTTGGATTTGTAGGTGTTTGCAATCTTTAGATAAGCTATCTAGCTGATCTCCCGCTACCTGAGGTAGTCTCAGCCTGCTACTTCTCCGCCATCTTGACCGAGACCCCGGGAAGAGGATGCAAAATTCTGAGCCATGTTACCTGGACTTCATCCCCAGTGATCATTTCCCATGAGCCATAGTGTCCCTTCTCCTGACGGAAGAACTGGACAGCTTCCAGAAACGCTTGGGCTTCAAACGTCGTCTGCTTCATGTAATCTAAGAGAAAAACGCAAGGGTGTTTAGCAGAGAAGACTACTTATACATTTACCATGGTTTTTCAAGAGACCCAACATTACCTGAATACTACGAGGGAGAAAATTATGAGACACACAAAAATCAAGCAGGTGTCGAATTCAAAGTTCATGTGCAGATTTGAATCACACTTCTTGCTCCCCATAGCAGCGGATTCAGTCTATCCATTGCTAGGCAGACTGGCTAGGATGAGAAGCAGATGAATCTCCCTTTATCTTTCTTGTAAATGCTTCCCTTGGGCATGGAAGCACCTACTGGCTTCCTGCTTCCAAATGTAGCACCTCACTATGGCAGACCGTTCCTGCACAAGGCTTTGTGTGTCCCGTGGAATCCCTCCCCATTCCCTGAATGACACTCTGATTTCTTTGCGACTTGATAGCAACTTTCTGTCAAAAGGACATCCATATAATATGCTGCTTGATGCCAACAAAGAATGACAATGGCTAACCACCATGTAATGAGATACTGTTCTTCTAAACATGTTACACATTTCACTAAAACCTCACAAAAACCTCTGCGTTGAGTGTTATTATCATCTTGATTATATAGATGGTGCAGAAGCCCAGAAAGATTAATTGTCTCAGGTCATACAGCTCGTAAGTGTGTGAACTCAAGCAGTCTGATTCCAGTCCGACGACACTACCCTGTATCAGCACCACGCTACACTACCTCAAAATCTACGCAAAGCCCCAAATCTTTACCTTCAAAAATGTGGAACTAGTTTTCCAGGTTTGCCCTTCTAAATAGATTAGATTTTATTTTTTTTATTATTCTATTTTATTTTATTTAAATTCCATTAGTGAATGCATAGAGTATTATTAGTTTCAGAGGTAGAGTTCAGGGATTCATCAGTCTTATACAACACCCAGTGCTCATCATGTCACGTGCCCTCCCTAATGCCCATCACCGAGTTACCTCGTCCCCCCACCCATCTCGCCTCCACCAATCCTCAGTTTGTTTCCTATAGTTAAGAGTCTCATATGGTGTGTCTCCCTTTCTGATTTCACTTTTTCCCTCCCTTCCCTACGACCCTCTGTTTTGTTTCTTGATTTCCACATATGAATGAAATCATACAATTCTTTCTCTGATTGACTTATTTCCCTTAGCATAATACCCTCTAGTTCCATCCATGTCTTTGCAAATGGTAAGATTTCTTTTTCTTGATGGCTGAGTAATATTCCTGTGTGTGTGTGTGTGTGTGTGTATGTATTACATCTCCTTTATCCATTCATCTGTCGATGGACATCTGGACTCTTTTCATAGCCAAACATACTAGATTTTAAAAGGTGTTTTATCTGGGAGGAAATATTTAATAGCAGGATTTTAAGTGTGGTTGTGGAAGCAGGAGCTCAACAGCCTTCCCAGAATTCCACAAATCACACCGTGCATAACAATATCCTCATTTCTGCTGTGGACTGAATATTTGTGTCCCCCCCAGAATTCATATGTTGAAACCCTAATCCCCAGTATGATAATATTTGGAGATAGAGCCTTTGGGAGGTAATCAGGCCAGGAAGGTATGATGGGATTACTGCCCTTATCGTGATGAGATTAGTGCCCTTATAAGAAGAGAGCTCCTCCCCCCACTTCTATCCTCCCACCAGACCCTGGACCTGCCAGTGCTTTGATCTTAAACTTTCAAGACTGTGGTATTTTTGTTACAGCAGCCCAAACTGACCAAGGCAATTTTTCAATACACAAAGATAGCTCTTGGAGGATATAATGATGACAGAATTATAATAATCTTTTCAGGGAAATGAATCATAGACATAATCTAATCTAACAATAAAGAAATCAAATCTTAGAAAGGGGAACTAAGGCTAAATGGAGTGATTGAAAGCACCAAATCTCTTGCCTCCTGCTTCTCCTCCTATAGGACGTGAAATCCCCTTGCTAATAGCCTATGATCTGTATTTATAGAGCGAATTAGATTAGCCAGTTGAAGGCTGCTGATTTGCTGGGGACCTTCAGAGCTTTAGACAATGGGACTACTCAGTCAAGGAATGAGTGGTTGATAAGGAGGGACAAGGCAGAAACAGAGAAGGCTCAATCTTCTCCAGAAGGTGATAATCGATGGGCTGTAAACGACTCTCTTAAGACTGGTTTTCGAGGTCATAGGCCTCAGCAACCTGGTACAGTGAAAATACATTTCGAGGCATAGTCTCTATGGAGTTCAAGCAACATTCTTCACAGTGAGGATACCATAAAGCCCCAAATCTCTACCTTCAAAAATGTGGAACAGTAACTGACATTTCTAATATCGACATAGAGATCCACTCAAGATCTAAATCAGAAAAAGCATGTCTGAGAATCAAATTTTTAAATTAAAGTATTTTCTTCCTTGTTATTTTTTTCTGGCTTGGCAAATGATTTACTGTTTAATCTTAGAGGTTTGGAAAGCACAAATTAAAGTCTTGGTATAAAATTGACAACAAGGGGGCTGTGATACGGGGCTCAGTACACTGGGAGGGACTTTACCAACAGAGATGGAAACTGTAATTATACATTGAGATTCAAGATTGACTCATGGGCTTTTATTTTTAACAGCTGTTTTCATTTCCAACCCAAGCAAACAAAGAGATGGAAGAAAATGTGGTACGTGATGGAGTGAGGACTGCCAGGCCCGCAAGCCTGGGAATAAGGTTTTAAATTCTTCTTGTCCTTACAAAAAGCATAAATTTACTTACTTCTTCCCCTACTAACCTCAGCAACTGGAGGAGATATTTGAAACCCTACTCATACCTTCTATAACTACATCAAAGCAAACTATGATAGTCGCCCTATGCGTGTTTGCAAAAATCTTTAGAAAAAAAAAATTACAGAAGAAATGGGATTTGGAGATAATGATGTGGGAGTCAGAGAGAAGTCCAAGAGGAGAGAGAAGAGCTGGAATGTAGTAGTGGTGGATGAGACACCTTAATCTAGACAGGGAAGAGAAGGGTTAGTAATCAGATGAACCACACAGGAAATTACGGTAATTGAACATCAGCAAGAAAGCGAATGAGGGCAGGGAGCTGAATTCTCGACTCTCTACCATTAGGATGGATTTAAACTGGATTTTAACTATTCCTTTTCCACAGGGATAAAAAAAAAAGGATCTACTCTACTGATTCATCATTAGATTTTTCAGGTTATAATCTGATTAATTAACTTCTACAAAACTTTTAGAACAGTACCTGGCATATAAAATCCATTTTATGGATATTAGCTTTTATGATGGTAAGCCAAACTCGACAGCAACTGCCAGATCATTAAGGAAATAAAGAACAAAGGTTTGCTTTGTGAAAGATAGAACTGCATTGCGATGGTAATACAATCTTCATTTCTTCTAACTTGTTTGCAGAGGCGTTGCTGAACCCAGCCAGAATGTACAGGTGTTTGAGAAAAACCGGATTATCAGTTATTTGATCAACTTCCTGCCATCGATCTCATGAGAACAGAATTCCAGGATCACAATCACCCACTCTCCTGCCAACAACAGCTGAGAGTTTAGTCCAGGGGTCCCCAGAATCAACCACGGATTTTGGTTGTTAAACCTTCTCCTCGTAGGTTGACTTAGAAAAATGGCAGGTTATCAGCTCCATGTACTTTCCCAACACGTTATCATTATGAGAATGCTTAAGGAGACAGATGTGCTGGAGAGAACTTAGACATCATTAAATCCAGATCCCTCATTTGGCGGACAAGGAAACTGAAAGAAAATAAAGGTTAATTTCTTAGCTGAAGGTCACACAGCTGGTCAGAATCTGAGCCAAGAGTTGAAAAAGTAGCTCTGGCATGTCAGGAGCGGCCTTGGCATTCACGCTTACTTAAACCATACACTGTAAGAGCTGGAAGTGGTCTTAAAGGTCACCTAGCCAGAGTTCTCGTTCCATGCTGGAAGCCTTCGGAATCCCAGACGCTCATCTGGCCTTAGCTTGACTGTTTCCAGTGACAGAGAGCTCACAATTTATGAGATAGTCATGGGACTCCTCTAATTATTTGAAAATTTTTCCTTTTATTGAGCCAAAATCTGTTTCCATGAACTCTCATTAATCTCATTTCTGCTTTTCAGAGCAAAATAGACAAGTTTACTCCTCTTCTATATGCTAACTCTAACTCTAAAAAAAAATAGCTGAATATCCGTATTTTCCCTCAACCATTCTTTAAACAATATAGTTTTGGGGATCTTTTAAATTTAGCTCTCTTTTTTTCTTCCTTCCCTTAGTAACCAATTCCATTTAATCAATATCATCCTAAATTTGGCTTGCGTAAATTATGTAAAGTAAAAGATTATGTTCCCTTTTCTGGTCCTTAACTTCTTCTTCTTCCTTTTTTTTTTTTTTTTAACACAAACACATCACACCATTGACTCATACCTTTCTTATAGGCAAATAAAATCCCTACAATTTTTCATATAAAACTTTTGTCAATTTAATCCTTTCCTAAACTGTACTTCTGCTTTTGATGTTGAGGTACAGGTTTTAACGTAACCCCTAATAAATGACAAGTTACTATGATCAACTCAGTGCCCCAGAGCCGGCCAAAATCATTTTATAATTATAATTCTGTTTCCAAACTCCCTTTCCCCTCTGTATCATTAAAAATTTTGGTGGGCTTGCCTTCTGTCACTTCTACCCAACTCACTGATAAAAATATTCATGAGATCGGGGGCAAGGACAGATCCCTGGTAAATTCTAAACATTTTAGAAGACACGTGGGAGACACATCTTGGTCATTCATTCAACAGTCACATCCTCAGGACCTTAGTCTCTCCCTATTTCTCATCTGTACAGTCACATGGAAAACTCATATTTGGGAGACATGATTATGGATTCTGCAAGGAAAAGAAAGCTTCTCTAGGCCCCTCGGGGGAACAGTTATCCAGGGGGCCAGCTTTTGTTTTTTTCCACTGGCACAGATTTACAGCACGTCTGAGTCAACCGAAACGCCAAAGCTCTAAGGCCTATGCAGTCATTCTGGGT